GCAGTTGTACTCGGCGCAGAGGATCGCTGCGGCGAAAGATCGGTGGACCAACCCGACGGGCCAGGGGGGTCGTTTTGGTGGAGGGACCTTTACTCGACCTGGAGCGACTGGGTTTGGGGCCCTGGCTAGAGTGTTCGGCTCCAACGTGATGTTTCACCCATCCGGAGGGCTCTCCAACAACTTGACATTCGACCAGGACGACAGCAGTGAAGAATACGAAAGCGAGGATGGGGAGCACGAGGGTGCAAACGATGCTTCCAGAAATGGAGCGTTACGCGCCCCTCCGCAACGGGACATCTACAAAACCCTCCGGGAACAACTCGAGGAACTCCAGGACGATGATGACGATGCGGACCATTTTGCCGAGACAGAAGATAGTCCCCGGAACAAGAAGTGGACGATCGATGATGATGGTGATTCCGCCATGACCGATGAATCCTCGAACGCTCGATCCGCTCTGACCAAATCCACCATATTTTCCCGTCGCATCGGGAAGCCATCCGGCTTGGACGATATGTTGAACAACGACGAGTCTGCTGACACGAACGGCGTGGACAAGTTACCGGTTGGCTTATCAAACGCACCCCCGACATCCATTGGTTCCCCCCTCGTCCCTTCCCATTCATCCATTCAAACACAAGCCGCCAACAATCGCACATTGCAAGGCGAAGCTCCACCTCCACCAAAGGTGAATGGTGTTTCCAAGTCCCCCGATACCCCGGTAGAGCAGTTGAAGAAGGTCCCCTCGGGCGATGCGCCAAGTGACGCTGTCAAAGTAGATGGGCTATTGGACACGAGCGAGGATCCCGTGTTGAATAACGTCGCCGCAAAGTCCAATTGATCTACGCGTTTCTTTCTTCGGTGCTACTACTGCCATTGGGAAAAGGGGGGAAGATGCCAAACTTTGAAGAACTGATCCCAACCTTTCTACATCATCCGGTGCTACGTGCTGCTGACATGAGTCAGAACTGAAATGACATTGTTGTATTTCTCCCTCCATCACCACCGCCGTCATCCCTGCACTCAGGTCCTACCCGTAACGCATACAACATTTCCTGCTACTTCCCTTGTTCCATTCCTTTTCCTTCTGCAGTCCTGACGCTCGGTCAGCATGCCATTCCGCTACCGCCCTTCCCCAAGATTTCTCCTATTTCTTGCGCACCAAGTAACGTGTTTTCATGTTTCTCTTTCCTTGCTCTCTGTTCAGTTCTTTTTCTGCCGTGCTTGCTGCCATAACTACCTGTTGCATTAATGTATGTAGCATGAAATACCCAAATGGGCTTTTTGAGTGGTACCAATTACAACCCAGACGGTACATGCGGCTTGTAAATTGCGAGCTATTGCGAGCTACTCACGCGATCTCCGGAAGGACGACCAATTGCTTTTCGCACAGGCATACAACCCGACTTCGCCCATCCGGCCCCATGATCCCGCAAGCTCCCAACAGCGTGCCTGCTGTACCTCCGCCGATACGGATGATGGCTTGGTCAGCTGTGCGGGCTGTATTCGTCGCTGTGGCGCGGTAAATGTATACGTTCTCCCCTGCATCCCCGCGATTGCCTTCAAACGCTAAGACGACTTTGGTACCAATGTGATACACGAACCTGAGGTCCCGTTTGGACGCCAGGACGAAGGAGAGGGCGGAGAAGGTGGACGTGTGGACCCATTCGAGGTTTCCGGGGTGAGATTTGGGCTTCTCGTCTTGATCGACTTGCACACCTTCGGATTCGAGGAGTCCTCGAGGGGGATTGAATACGACACCGTCAATGTCATTCTTGATGACCAAAGCGGGGAGTCTTGCTAGATCTTCGGCGCTACGCTGGGGGCTTGGAAGTGGACGGGACAAGAGAACGGCCTCCGCAGGCCAAGGCTTCCCATCCCACTGGTTTTGAGCGCCAGAATCGTCGATCCAGGTGAGCACGACCGGCGTCCCGGCGGCCGCATCGACCTCCTCGTCGAACTCGCCCTGCCCGAGACTGGGCATGCCGCTGCCCAGTCCCAGCCCACCCACATCTCTGCCTTCGGATAATGCAGAAGTGTACTTTTCGAGCGATTCGCGGATGTGCCATAGTTCGGATGGGTCGAGCGTTTCGGGCACTTCGATATCTTCGGGTTTGACGTCGGGACCGACTTGGGTGCCTACAGCGTGGAAGACGTGCGGCCATCGGGTGCCGGCATGGCGTTTTTCGAGGTGTAGACTGAGTAATCCGACGGTGTTGACACCGGTTTCGCCCTTTTGGCGCTCGCCTTCTTTGTCCCAGGTCCAGAAGCTGGAAGATGCGTCGACCTCCGCCCACCAATCTTTCTGGAGATACCGAGGGATGGGTATAGGGAAGATAGAGGCCTCAGATTCAGGGACGTTCGCGACTAGAGTTAGGTGTCTAGCGCCGATTATGACTCTGATGGCAGAGGCGGGTGTAGACGATGGAAGGGGGAACGCGATGGTAACAGAGTCCTCGGTCTGAGTCCATGAGTATGGAGGTGGCTTCGGTATATCATTCGTCTGCTTATGACCATCCAAGTTCTCTCCAAGGCGAGGGATTGGCGCGATCTCGTCGGCCGATGGTTCGTACGGTGTTGGGGCGTCCTGACCGTCCAGCGAATAAGACGTTCCTCCGAGCAGCAAATATGCTTTCCGCTTCTCGCTGTGCGCCACGAGGATGGGTACCGAGTCGCCTCGTGCCTTCCAGCGGACCTCCACGGCTGTGGTGGACGAGGACTGGCTACCGGAGAACTGGAGAGACGCTCCGATCACATCGAATACAGTCTTTGAGGTGGGTCGCGCCCTGGAAATAGTAGGAGACGTTGACGGTATTTCGATAGAAACTCTGTGAGACAAGATAGCTACGATCCGTCCGTCTTGTAGGCGAGCAGAATGGAGTCGCAACGATGGAACGGAGCCGGACCGATCTGGAGCAAGATATTCATAGGAAGAGACGCATGTTCCCTTACTCGTCCCATCTCCGTTGTCTGTGATCTTGACGAGGTGGAGTGATTGCTGTCCGTCGGATACGAGCCAAATGTCCTGAGTCAATGCGATTGCGACAGGATATTCGTTCGGACTCTCGTTTGCAGTCACTCCAACAGTCTTGATAGCCTCGGGGATTTCGAATACAGTCCGAAAAGTAACTTCTGCAGTATCCTTAGTTAATGTGGTTAAGGATGTTTCCGATTTTGGCTTTGATGCGGAGTCGAACACAACTTACAGGATCACATCTCACCAGAACCAGGTTCCTTCCTGCATCGATGTAGGCTAGTTCACCTTCGTTGAGGCCAGGAGACAAGTGGTTATGTTTGACGCGGCTTTGGAATTCCTCGAAAGAGAGGGTTATCGTTGTGGCGCGGGTGGTTATCGTAGATTGAGTGGCGCCTTGACCGGGAAGCGGATGCTGTTGCAAGGTCAATGAATCGTCCAAGTTATGTAGTTTATATCCATCGAATTTAGGATTTAAAAGCGACCTGTCGACTGGAAAGACTAGAGACATCGGTAATAGGGGTGAGAAGTTGGGAGAAAGCGCGCGGTCGGTCGAGGCCCCGTCGGAGAACGACGGCGATGAGTGTATCCCTTGGCTTTCTCAAAAGGTACCATGAATGGCTTGGTTCCACGCCTGGTTACCTCAGATTGTAAACCTGACGGCGGTGAGCGCGCAAGTTGGCAGTCTTAAGAGGATTACGAGACGGGCGTTATGTATAATTCCAAGACAAATGACTACTCAGCACAACAGCGTGTACCATGAAGTGCTCTAAGCAGAAAGGGAGCAGCACGCGCTATGACCCGGCCTACTTCATCACCAAGTATGGACGACTTGGTCTCCCTCTAAAAACAAGATAGGGGCCAACCAATGAATACAGACGCTACTCGAACCATGTAAGTGCTACGGGACGTACCAATATAATCAATTACACCAGGCATGAAGGACTGGAGCGAGCTGGCAAGGCTTTGTGACATGCTGGCAGCGAAACCCTTGAACAAGTCCGTGTACACCTGGACAATACTACCCCCTTTGCATAGCGTATTTCTTCAATTACAGCTCTCTAACAAACAAGCCCGCTCGGGTACTCACCTCGCGACTTTATCATGTCCATATATTGGTCGATCTGCTCGGGAGTGGCGTTATCTTTGAAGATGACGATCCAAGCTGCGCAATATGATCTATGTTAGCACGGAATATCTCTAGGCTATCAGTGGGAGTGCTGACTTTGAGGCTTATCCATCATGAGTTGGCCCATGGGGGGAAGATACATCTGTGAGAGTTTGGGTTGTGGTTGTTGAGTGGAACGAGTGAAGCGCAGTGACCAATCCGCAATCGCGTGGCCGGCTTAGTCACTATCACCGATATCTCCGTAAACCAACACAGAACGAAACCATGTTCACTCGTTTGCTGACGAACACCGCGTCATTCACTTCCCGTCGTGTAATGTCTACCGTAACAGAAGCTGGTCCTGTAGAATCGGCTATCCGACAAAAAGTAAGTTGCTTACTTTGCCAACTGGTCCGACCTGACTAACGGATTCCCGGTATGTTTAGCTCACCGAATTGCTAAAACCAACAGCTTTAACAATATCGAACGACTCGTGGCAGCACAGGAACCATGCCCCAATGCGTGCTGCTGGAGGGGGAAATGGGGAAACTCGTGGGCCGAACGCTTTCTCTTGAAAAATTTCGCCGTTGATAGATGTCACATCAGACTTTTCTGTGGATGTTGTGTCCAGCGAGTTCTCTGGGAAGGTGAGTTGAACAATGCCAGCTTTGCTACAAAGAAACATTCAAACTGTCTGGCAGCGTACTATGCAGCGGCACAGAATGATATACAGTGCCCTCTCCAAAGAATTCGCTGATGGACTCCACTCCCTGTCTCTTAACACCAAAACCCCACAGGAAGCAGAGACCGCCGCCAAGACCAGCTAGCATTGTCAATTGTAGAACCAGTCAAATATACTTGCACTGTACCTCCCCCAGTACGTAGCACGTTGAGTGAGTGAGCGCAGCAAAATATCTGCTGCTTCGGTGAGGCTCGAACTCACAGCCTCCTGATTTGCCACTTGTCTCAAGCTTAACAGTCAGACGCGCTAACCAATTGCGCCACGAAGCAACCCGCCTTTCCGTTTTAGGCAGGCGGGCACGATTTCCTTACAAGATCCGAGACAAGGACGGGGATAAGGGCGGTTCCTCCGGCTCTAGGTCTCGTCGACTTCCTATGTCGCCCGGATTGACTTGCACCAACCTCACTGAAAGTCTACTCACGTTACAGCCTGTACTCCCAGATGATCGCCCTTGCGATAAGCACGCAAGTTTATCACCTCAGCCAAGCCATTCTCCTGCCTCCTGCCCAACTCCTGCCCACGAAATATTCGCCAGTATGTTCGGCTGGCCCTCGAGTGTAAACCCTCGTTATTCTTGGATAGCTTCTAAGAACGCCTGTCGAAGCGGCACAGTCAGGCGATCTCTGCCACAGACGCCTCTTTGATCTCGGTTTTATCTGAACCCTGTGACAGGACAAACGAGGAACACGATGGATAACGCCGAACACAAGGCTGCCTGCACGTACAACCGTCCGATTCCCGTGAGCCTAACGCCCTTCCCCGTTTTTACAACGACTGGGTTGGCTCGTCCACCCGCTGTGGTCTTCCGCAACCACAATGCACACTTTAGTGTTCTGTATACTATATCTTTTCATTGGAGTCCTGGCTTCATCAAACGGGATCCGAGCCGACCCAACTGGTACGTATTTACCTTTTTTGGGATTATTTGGATCGAGACCAACTGACCAACCACCGTTTCTCTAGATTTGCAACTATACCAATTCTTCCTGAACTTGGAGTACCTCCAGGATGCATTACTTTCTAGTGGTCTGAATACTTTCAGCGATACGGCCTTCACCAACGCAAGCTTCCCAGCTTGGACACGACGTCGTTTTCAACAGATCGCACAGCATGGAACCTCTCATATTCAGCTACTAAAGTCGGCTTTGGGCAAATCAGCTCCTGCTCCTTGCAATTATACATTGTATGTCGCAGTATCGGTGGCGTTCCCCTTCGATTCTGATGGCACGACTGTCCTTTCAGTCCCTACAATGACGTCAACTCTTTCGTTACTCTTACCTCAACTCTCAAGAGCATCACCGTCTCGTCCTACATTGGTGGAATCCAATATGTGGACAGCAGAAAGACGTTACCTGCTCTGACAGCTGCGGCCTCAATATTAAGCAACCAAGCCCGGCACTCGGCATGGATATTTTCTGCCGTACAAAAAGGAGGAGCTTGGTCTAGTGCCTTTGATTCGCCCTTGGGATTACCTCAAACTTACTCACTGATTAGTACGTCCTTACGTTTGAGGCCCATCACCCCTGACGCTTTAAATAACTCGCATCCTCATTTTAGCACCCTACATCGCTTCTTGCCCATCTACCAATCCGAAACTACCCGTAGCAGCATTCCCGAGATTATCTCTGCTACAATCCAATTACACAGCTGGTGCGGCGGTCACGTTCAACTACAGCATACCCTACGCCGGTCCGACGTATTTGGCGCTATACAACGGTCTGGATATGTCGTACTTCCCAGTCAGCGCTAACAAAACGGCGACTCTGCCTCCGAACCTTTCTGGGATTGTCTATGCTGTGCTTTCCTCTGTTGCCACTGGTTTGAACTCTACGACCACGCTTGCTGGGCCCCTAGTCCTGCATTTCCCCTCTTGACACTGTCTAGTTACTTTCACACTGATGTATTACGGACTTTACTTTATCGTGCTGCCTACTACTTATACGATCGGGGGTTAACTTGTGAAAACGGCCTCTTCTGGCCAGCTCCCCCTTTACGGGTTGGTTTTGACGTATCTATTGCGTTATGACACTGCCTTTGAAGTGAAGACGAGGACTCGAACTTCAATTACGAGGAATAGGGATACAGTTACATTGTTCCACACGCTCGCCGGGTATCAGCCCCTCCCAGTACATTACCGGGGCAAGTCCAAAAATCACAGGGCCTTTGCTGAGAGCCCAAACCTCAATGTAATAAAGCCGCATAGGTACAATAACAAATCCGAGAAGCGCACGAAACCGAAACTCAATGTCCATGACCTACAATTCGAGACAAGATGACAGGAAGGAACATTCCCGCGACAGTCAAGCCCACTCGCATCGTTCTAGGGAGGTCGGCTCCCGAGTGTTCAATCGATGCTTCATGCGAATGCGCGGAAAGGGATGAAAGGACGGTGGCGACATACAAAAAGGTTCCGCCCTGTCAACGAGAAAACAGAATAGACCTTAGCTACCTGGTCACAATGTATGGATGAATAGACACATACCGAAAACATGAGGACGCTTCCTGTCCACCCTTCGATGTGGCTGATTCCGCCAAAGGAGACCAATGCACTGTAAGTGACCAAGGCGGATAGAGGAGAGGCAAGAGCGAACGCCACGAGATGGTGCCGAACTTTGCGTGGAGGCAGCTGGGTCACTAATGTGGACGTCAATGCCAAGGCGGTAGGAGCTACAACACAGCAACGTCAGCTTGAGGAACAGGCTACTTTCTCTCCTCGTACTAACCTTTATGAATAGCGATAGCCAGGAACACAATAAACGACAACCCGGCCGCATTCGATACAACACCACCCTCTGTTGGCTTGCTACCAGCGGGAGGGGCAGCAGCGGCAAGTGCATTAGCAGCACCCAACGCCAACCCATCAGCCAGTGAGTGAATCACCAACCCCAACGTCAACATCCTCGGATTCTTCCCGTGCCCTCCAGACCTCGTGTCCACTCCCAAATTATTCAACTCGATCTCAAGCTCCAGATCCGCATCGAACTCCGAAACCGCGGTGAGAGGCGAGGCGGGTGCCTGTCCGGCCCCTGCGGATGTTGGTGCCAGGGCGTATTTCTGTCCCGGAAGGTTAGAACTCCGTGCGGCAAGGATGGGTTCTAGGAGTTGTTCGATGAGGAACATGAGGGTGAATCCCAACAGTAACGGTATCGCAATTGCGAAGGAAGAGGAAGAGTGTTGCGAAGATCCCGTTTTTGGAGCTGATTCGGTAGCTTCGTATATAGCTTCAATACCCCTAGGCCAACAAAGAAACGTGTTAGGTGGCTGTACAACTGAAATGTGATGAACGACGCGTACTCGGGGATAATGACACCCATTGCGGTTCCCAGTAGTAACCCAGTTCCGACGGTGGAAATCTGTGCCAACCTCTCCTCTAACAAAACACGAAGTTGATAAGTGTTAATGGTGCATGAAGCTTAGATGCTCACTGGAGAGGGACATCGACAACGGGAGCATGCCCGCAAGGAAGGACGAGCCTCCCAAGCATAGGACTACAGTGACAATGCCCCAAGATGACATGTGATGATAGTTGATAGTCCTTTGAACGTTTGAGGGGGACGAGAAATCAAGCTGGAGAAATCACGCTTGAAGGGCCAGTCGTCCGCGCCAGTTGTTCGATGTTTGAATAAGCAAGTCCGAGTTGGGGATATCTAAAGTTATACGCCTGGATATCGTTTTTGGGTCTACTGAAGTGAGCAAAGGTGGTGGCTAAAGCTAAATCCGAATGCGGTGATGACACGACACACAAAAGCGAGGCTGGCCAATACGCGTGAGAGAATCACTTCGGACCCTTACGATGACAAACTCGACTCGTCTGATCTCAGAGTGCCTTTTGGGCCGCCTTGGACGAAGGTAATCAAAGGGTAGAAGAAAATATAGGTCACTATTCAACATCGTAACAACTTCAACACGACATAGGAAGATGCCTGTAGGCAAACATCACACCCCGAAATGAACAAAATTGATCCACCGAGTCGCAGGCACCTTCTCCTTCCTCAACACTTTCACCCCTTCTCGAAGTGCGTTGGCCGCCTTCGTACACGACTTTCGCCTTCCCGACTTGGCCATAATCATATGCTTGTAAAATTCGGACGCTAATACAGGTCCGTCCACATCGGCCATGGCCCACAAAGTCCCAACGACACTTTTGAACCCAGCGAATTGAATAGCGGCGGAGAGATGGAGGAATTCGTCCGGTGTATACCGATCCCCTGCCGCTGAGTGGCAAGCAGACAGGAATGCAAGTTCTGCGTTTGGAAGCTGTTGCTCCACAAGATCAAGGACGTAAAGTGGATTGTCGTATAGGGAAAAGTGTGAACGGAAGGGTTGCTGATTGTTGAGGTGCCCATGACAAGAGAAATGTACCCAGTCGTGCTGGCGGATGCCGGTGAGCACGGCGTCTCGTGTCCCTGCAGACCCTTCTAGGACAGTCGCGTCAGGGATCCGCTTCTTTATGCGGCACACCTCCTCAACCACTCCTGGGAGGGCCACCTGACCAGGCGTGTCTGGTTGACCAATCACTAGCATTCCGCCAGAGGTGGGCTCCGTCGAAGCTCTTCGGGCGCGAATCAGAGCGCCGAGGGTAGGTGTGTACGAAACAACATACGCTTCGGGGAAGTTCTGGTCTCGTTTGGTATATATTCCGCCGCAGTGTAAAGGAAGCCGAGAAATTCGTCCCGTTGGGCACAGCCAGACGCGAGACTTTTTCGGTAAGTTGAGTTGGTTTTGTACTGCATCGACAATGGGTTCAATAATCATGTCCCATAGGTCACGGAGCAATAGGTTCATATCGCTCTCCTGCTTCTTTAACTGCGATTGCGGTAGGGTGCGTGCGAGATGGGCGTTCATGTTATCTACGCTCTGTATGGATGCAAGAGGTAGCTCGACGAGAAGAGGTTGTCCTTCCTTGGAGACGATAAGTGCGTCACAGCGAGTTACGCTGATGTTGATTAGGATAATGGGACCTTCTGCAGCAGCTCCCTGTAGAACTGTATATGGCGTGCGTTGCAGGAAGGACTCGAAACCAGGGATCGCTCGGACCTCTGCTACACTGCCGTCCCACTCCGCGTTTAGCCTTTGATACCTGTAGAAATGGATGATTCATGCTTCCCTAATGGGAACGACACCGAAACTCACCTCGAGATGTCGTCCTCGGACGGCGCTTGCCCTATCGCAGCCGCTGTACCTCCGCGGGCCGTCGCAGATTCCTCGAGTTGTCGACCAATCTGTTCAAGCCGATCGGCAAGAAGGGGGTTCACAGCTTTGAGCTCGA